TTAAATATATTGGCTGGTGATTTTAATATTAATTGGCGTGATAACCATAATTCGAATCATTTGAAGCGTTTAGCTGAGTTTTTTAATTTAAAGCAAACGGTAAATGAATATACGCGTATTTCCAGGCACAGTAGAACTTTAATTGACCACGTTTATTCCAATTTTGATTCCATTTGTTTAGTTACGGATACTGATTTGAAAATAACCGATCATGAGACTTTAGTGATTAATGTCTTAGACCATGTTAACGATAACGATAATTTTGTAAAATTGAAGTGCTGGAGGAAATATTCGAAGCAAGCTGTTTCAAATCTTGTTGAGAGAAGCCTGGATTTTCCATTCGCGGCCGGTAACTTAGATGAATCTACAGCTGTTCTTAATAACGCTTTGAAAACGTGTACCAATCAACTAGTTGAGCAAAAGTTTGTTTCTTTGAAAAACTCGAACAGCTGGTACAATTAGGATCTTTTGCGTCTTAAACGGAAAAGGGACAAATGGTACAAAAAGTTTTGTAGATCTAATAATGACAATCATTGGACTAGGTACACAATGGCGCGTAATAAGTATTCACAATCGATAAAGAAAACTCGTTGTGAATATGTTCAAAGGAAGATAGATCAGCATCAAAACAACAGCAAAGAGTTATGGAAAATTTTGAAATCTTTATTAAAACCTAGTAATTGCAAACCGCGGTCCATAACTTTTAATGGCACATTAGAACAGTCATAACAAGTAATTGCAGCTAAGTTTAATGATTATTTCGTAGATAGCGTTTCATTGATTAATCAATCTATTGAATTGGTGGTCGATGAACCTGACGAAATAAAACAGCCAGTTAATAGTAGTTGTAGATTTGAAGTTTTTCACCCAATCACATTAGATGAACTTAGAGTTATTTGTTTTTCATTAGGAAAATCGGCTGGAGTAGATAATGTTAATGCTAGAGTTATTCACAATTGCGTTCATGTTATTGGCCACATCTTGCTGGACCTTATTAATGAATCATTACAAACTGGACATGTGCCACAAATTTGGAAGGAATCCTTAGTAGTCCCTATTCAAAAATTTGCTGGAACGATTAAAGCCGAAGAGTTTCGTCCCATCAACATGTTGCACACATTAGAGAAAATTTTAGAACTTGTTGTTAAAGGCCAGCTGTTGGAGTATTTAAATAGTAATAGTTTGTTGATACCAGAACAATCGGGATATCGGGAAGGTCATTCTTGTGAAACCGCGTTGAATTTGGTATTAGCGAAGTGGAAAAATAACTTGGAGTGTAAAGATACGATTGTTGCTGTTTTTTTGGATCTTAAACTCGCTTTTGAAACAATTTCTAGGCCCTTATTGTTAAGATCAATCAAGCGCTTTGGAATTACGAGTACTGCATATAAATGGTTTGAAAGCTATTTGCCTGACAGAACTCAACGGACTGTTTTTAATGATTCTGTTTTCAGTCCCGTGGGGAATACCCTTGGAGTACCCCAGAGAAGTGTATTAGGGCCCCTGTTATTTATTATGTATATTAATGACTTGCGACGTGTTTTACGATTTTGCGACATTAATCTTTTTGCAGATGATACTGTGTTATTCATTGCAGCTAAGGATTTAGATGATGCCGTTTTACACTTGAATGAAGATTTGCGTTCTCTAAGTAGATGGTTGGAGTATAAACAGTTAAAATTGAATACAAGTAAAACTACATGTATGGTTATTTCGCGGAATAGAGTAAATAAGAACGTCTCTGTTGTAATTGATGATGAGACTATTGATCGCGTTCGGGAGATTACTTATCTTGGCGTGATTATTGATGACACACTTAAGTTCAACTCTCACATTGACAATGTCATCAAGAAAATTTCCAAGAAGTATGGAATTCTATGTCGACTGAAAAACGATTTAACTATTGCCAGTAAAATACAGCTATACAAATCAATCATCTCTCCTCATCTTGACTTTTGCCCGTCCATTTTATTTCTGGCCAATGCAACACAAATATCGAGATTACAGCGCTTGCAGAATAAAATAATGCGTTTGATTTTGAGATGTAATAGATTCACTTCCTCAACTTTGATGCTAGACGCCTTACAATGGTTGTCGGTGAAGCAAAGAATTGTATATTTGACTATGGTGTTCATTTTTAAAGTAGTTAACGGTTTGCTGCCTCGATATTTGTGTGATCGAATTGAAAGAGGAAGTGACTTTCATAGATATAATACTAGAAACGCGGTTGAAATAAGAACACCACATTTCTTGACTTGTGCTTCACAAAATTCATTATATTATAAAAGAATAAATGTTTTCAATTCGATGCCTTGACATATCAAACGTTCAGCAACACTTACAGAATTTAAGAGACACTGCATTTCACACGTTAAAACTGTCTTTTGAACAGTTATCCAGTGAGTTTTTTATGAATTGACAAATTATGTATCTTGACGAAGTTATCTCTAACGGATTATTTTATATGGATAGCTGTCATAACGACTTTTTAATAATTATTGTAGCACTGCAAAAACTATTTTGTTCGCCACGATGGTGATGATGGATTTTTGATATTTAATTTAATAGTAGTAGTAAAAAAAATAGTAGTCTACAAAGGTTTGAGCCTCGCGCGCGTATTACGGATATAGAGGACTGAATTTAACATTTGATAAAAAAAAAATGCAATTTTGAAGCTTATTTGGAAGATACCTTGAGTTAGTAGTAAGTTTTCTGGCAAATGTTGGGGGTTCGTGAGCATTCCTGACATTGCTGAAAATTATGATAGCATCAGATTGCGGGGTTGCTAGTGTAATAGGATGCTTTGTTGATTGTTCATTAACTCTTGATTGCTTGTAATACTTATGAATATTTTAGGTGGACAAAAAGGCGGTGCACGCCTGAGCTTTTCCACATTTATATCGCTGTAAAGCAACTGTAAACTCTAGAGGGAATTTATATCTGTAACTGAAACCAGTTCGATTTTGTTTGTCAACCTGGTTAAAATGTCATATTCAATTATCTTAAAGATAAATCGTCCAGCTCAAACCTTTGTAGGGGTAAGAGGTGGGACCATCATCATCATCATTTCATTATATACTATTTGCAAAATTTTGGATCATCCTTAGTGATACGAAAAAAAAACAAGGGAAAAAATTGGACTTTTTGGATCACCCTAATTAAACACCAGCCTAATATTGGACCAGGGAAACAAGGGAGATGCTATACTGTCGAGAACAAAACAAGCGACACGATTTATACCTATTGCACTGAGGCGGCAGCAGACTGGAGAGATATAATTGTTTGAACCAAACGGCTGCAAAGTCAATAACCTCGTTGTTGTGTGCCTCGGTCGCCTCGGTAGGCAATATGACGCTCTTTCGTTGTTGCTATCGATGGGGTGATGATTTTGCTGATGATGTTGCGATGATGCTGGGTTAAAGCTGGACCGTAATGAAAGCACTCGACATATCATTAACGGCTTCCTCACTCGCGCACTAGTTGTCTTAACACTATGCCAAACTAACTTTGGCGAGAAAAAAACTCTCGCGTGGAGGAAAAACTCGAAACTCAAATGATAGTGTCGTACAACGAGACCGATGCGACTTGACCGGCTCAGCGTGCGAGACGGAATGCACAAGTGTGTTATGACGTTATGATTTTTCTAAAATATCGAAAAAAGTATCAAAAATCTAAAAAAAAACACATTTTTTCTTATTTTTCAAAGAAAATTTATGTGAAAAAACATTTTTTTATAAATCATTATCGCGGACTCGAAAAACCACAAATCATCAACCTTTCGGTTTTGCTGAGTGTCCATTTTTTTTCATCATGAGATAGCAAAACATATTTTTTACATGTAAATTTTCTCAGAAATCTAAAAAAAAAACTGATTTTCTTTGATTTTTGATAAATTTTCCCAAAATTTTTAGAAACATGAAAACGTGCCAAACAAATATTTTCGGGGTTGTAAACTTTCCCTTAATGTGAGGCTTCAGGACGCAAAACAAGAAATGAAATTTACAATTCTTCACCTATTTTTTAGCGAATATTGGTTGAGTGGAATGAAAATCCATCAGCAACTTGTTAATAACACCCTTTCCCTGACTAATAGTCACAAATAATCACAAGCGAGAAAAGTTGAATGGAAACTCATTGCCAACATCAACAGTTCCCCTTTACCACCGTGGGATTAATTTACGAGCTGGGCTCTCCTCCTCACTAGTTTTTATCATCCAACTTCAAATTGCAGTCTGCCGTTCCTTAAAAAAATCGGGAAAATCCCGTTAAAATTTAAGTTTACTTTTTGATACTCGAACCACAAATAGTCGGAGCCACTATCGCATGGTCCCCGTAGCCGTCCGTGGTACTGACATCATGTGCTGGTAGCATAAAGAGTGACAACAGTAATGTCCGGTTTACACTAGTGCTGGATCAATAGTGCTGATGTGCCAGCTGATAGCAAAAATTGTCATCAGCACGATGTAAGCAGTTTTCAGCTATCGCAGTTATCAAGTCGCCAATTTCAAGCGCTCCTGCATTTGCAAGCAGACTGACATTTTGGTTTGCAGCTTGATCAGCTTGATCACCAGCATAAGTGTAAACCGGGCATAGCCGGCTGGGTGATAAAACGAAAGCTGACGTGGTCCGGCTTTCCTGGGCTGTAAGACGATGCTAGGGGCGGGTGCCATTACTGTGCCGTCTCGTGGACAACTTTATGGCGGTCATCCTAATTGTTGGCTACTTGTGAATGATTTTTGTTTTATTTTAGGCACTCCGTCTCCCATTTCAAGAAGGATCAAAGCATTTTCGATGGCTAGGTCAGAAACCGCAAGTAAAGCTTGGTGGTGTGGGAAAAAAGGTTGAGAGTAAAATATGAGCGATGGAATTTAAGATTCTATGGGCAAACTGGCCCAAACAAAATGTTGCATGGATTTTTTTTGCAAACACACTTAAAAGAGCAATTCACCCAGACATAAATCAAAGTAACCGTCTAGTAGAAGGCATTAACGGGCTCTCACCTGCATCCGGGGACAGGGCCAGAAGAGAACCGGTTTTCCATAGCTGGCTGTAAGATGAGTAGATAAACCGTCACAGTATCCGATGGCCCCGTCTTCACCGCCCTCCTCCAATGTGTAGAGCACCGCCGAGATGAATGGATCGGATAGCCATCGCTCGAAGCTGGTCAAATCTGTGTGGGAAAAGAAAAAGAGAATAGAGCGTACAATTTTGAGAAAGCGGAAACGGAAAAGACGAATGAAATAAGGTTTTCATGAAGCGGAAGCGCATTAAAGCCACTCATTCGTTTTTGGGTGGTTGAATCGCAGACAGGTGGGTGTGGAAATGCTATGCAGCAAGTGAGCAGTGAATTTCGGAAGCCTCCAAGGTGAAGGCGACGACAGCTAAATTGGATTACCTTTTCCCGGAATGAAGCGAATAAATGTATATAGCAGATAAAGCAATTTCCTAGAATGTAACAATTTATGCCTTAAGCTGCAACAGAAGATGGCTTGGATGATGAGCATAGATTTTCTTCAATCAGGATCAGGGAATTTGATTTTTCCGAATAATTTTGAAAAGATTACGATTGGAACTCGTAGCTGTGGGGATAGTAGAATAGTGATGATGAATTCAAAAATTTTCACGGGGAGGTATACGAGTACAATATTTGGAAGGGAAGTAAAGCCCAAGCAACACCATTTGTTTCTCAGCGAGTATCAACAACCTTAGTGTAACTAATAGACGATCTAAATTATGGACAACGCACCGTATATAAAACTTCATTGTACCTTAAAAAGCGCAGAAGGTGGAGTTTCTTTGCAACTTATGTTTGTGGCATAAAGTGTTGCAAATAAGGTGCATGTAACATGATATATGAATGACACAAGTTGTAAATGAGGTTTTAACTGACTTAGCTGCAATGTTTCACTGAAATATTTTAAACAGTACTGTGATATTTTCGAATACATGTAAATGACATTCAAGTTGACCACATAAATGTACTGGATATTTTTGTGAGGTGATGCGGAAAAAGCATACTTTTTTTGTATATTAATTTATTTGATAAGGCTCAACCAAATTAACTTAACAGAGCCGAGGATTCATGGTCACTATACAATACATCTTAAAGCTATAGTCAAAAGGTACAACACAATAAACACTTTATCTTCCGCTATCCAAAAAGCCTCCTCCATCAGAACTGGAGCCGCTTCCAGTAGTTTCATTGTATGGCAAATTGTTGTACGCCAACGAGGGTCAGAGCGCGTCCATTGCAGCAATGGACGTAAAACGTGGTCAGCACTCACACAATCATCACGAAACGGTTGCTTTCCAAAGTCGACGACGCATCGACCGAAAGAACTGCTGATGAAGAACAATGAGGAGGACCACACAATGGTTGCTGCCGAGTAAACAGACGATCGCGTAGCACACATCGAGAGTGGCCTGCTTTTGTCGACAGCCGAGTGAACACTGAAAAAAGCATACTGATGTTTTTATTTAGACTGCAAAATCAGAAATGACAATCGTAGAAAAAGTCATTTGAATAAAAGTATGAAATTAATTACTTTAAAATATTGATAACTAGCCCGTTTTTTCAAACGCATCATGCCACAAATTTGCAGCTTAAAAATATGTCGAAATAAAAAATTGATCTCTAAAATTAAATATTTATATTCAAACTATTGGAAAACATTACAGCTGTAATAAGTATTTCACGTTTGTATGTTAATAGGGTGTGAAACATGTATAAATTGAAAAATAAGTTTATTATGTTTATTTCTGGTGGATTACATATGGCTGCCAGTCTTAGCAACAGCATTCTAATTGTGTACATTGCGGGTCAACATGTTCAGTACAACCATATTTATTTGTATGTGCGGTTGTGTTTGCGAATGTGATTAGTTTTTGATTTCATTCTAACCGAATTAAATTAGTATGATGATGAGTTCTTAAAACTTAAAATTATGTTTAAAAAAAAGTAATAATCCATTAGATGGCCAGTGGTCACTCTACATAATGTACCCAGGCACTTTTTCGGCTCTCTAAGGCAAGGCAGCGCTCTGTTGTGAGCCAATCACCGACAAGATATTCTGATAAGCTGGTAGATGCCAAACCCCGTCACATCAGTGGGCAACTAAAACACTCCTACCAGAACCCTATTTCATGAAGTGTCCGACCCGTAGCCGCAAACCTAAATTCTAATCAGCATAGTTAATTTAAAATAAATACTTTACAAGTAACTATCAATCAAGGACTCATAAGTGAATAGCTTTTTTAAACCAAATAAGCGTTTTTTATGCAGTGCCGATTTTTATTTATTTATTTATTCGTCAATCAATCAAATCGTAGACTACATATCAACATTAGGACTTATGTTCTATGACTTCGCAGGGTTCTGAAATATATTTTTTATTCTTTTGAGGGCATATTTAGGTTAATCATTTCACAATGCTGATTATAAAAAAATTAGATCCTATTTATTTTAATTTTTTAACTGACAGAAAGTTTATTGAACGAAAAAATGCATAAACATATTTTTTTTTAATAAATAAAGTAAATGGTATAGATTTTTATCAATTTCAAAAATCAATCAATCAATAAGTAAATAAATAAATGAAATAAAAACAAATTGAAATAGCCTGTAAACCAATTGGAATTAATGACTTTAACTCGCAAATCCCCACTGTCTATTACTGAAAATTGCTAAAACTTTCATAATTTCGTCATTTTTGAACAGAATATTTGTATCTATCCATTGCAATAGAACCACAAACTTCTCAAGTTTTGATGAGAATTTCAGTATTTCTGATTCTGATTCTAAAAATATTATGAAATTGAAAAAGTGTAAATTTTTGACATTGGGGGTTTGAAAATCAAACGAAATTTTACCGGTTCGATTTTTTTCGATTCGTTTTGTTTTTTTCTAATAGGAAGCCATCCACAAATTATGTAAGGGTTTTTGAATGATCATTTAATCCCCCTCCCGTCCTTATAAGACTCTGTTAAATTTGCAGTTCACAACCCCTCCCCCGAAAGTCTTTCTGAGATTTTAAAATTTTCAGAAGATCGTTAGATATCGATTTGGGTAAATTTTTACATGCATTTGCGCATTTAATGTATTTGGACGTGTTTTGGCATTGAATCGCTTAAGATAAAATTATTTTTTTCACGTACTAAATTTTATGAATGAAAATGTCAACCCCCCCTGAGGGGATCCCTCATTCCATTCCATTACTAAATTTGTGGATGATCCCAAATGTTGGAAAAGATATAAATAATCCAAGAAAATCATTTTTTCCAAAGATTTCATAGAAAATTAGCATGCATTAGCATGCATTAGCAATACGCTTTCAATTTTACCGAAGAAAGTTGGACTCCCAACCAAACCGAAAGGTTGATTTTCTGCGGCTTTTGAGACCATCTTTGTACGATGATGTCTGAAAAAAAATGTATTTACCTTCTCTTAAAAAAAAAAAATGAGAAAACTTGAGCGGTTACGGATTCCGAAGACGGTCGTTGAAGATCAGTGGTGGGACTCGTATGACTCGCAGATACAAGAAACAAAAATTTAACTCCAAATGAATATGTGTGAATGTGAACATTCTCCATTATAGCAACATAATTTCGGCCGGTAGTGTACGGTTCATCCAGATATAATCCAGCTCACTGAGATGTTGCAAACATGTTAAATAGTACGTTACAATAATTTAGTTATTTTTCAAGACATCATGAAAAGTTTACAACAAGTATTTTTTACGTTGTAGATGAGTGGATAATAAAATTAATGATTCATATTGAACTGCAACAACATTGCAACGATTTGTCAACATAACTGCACCATTACGTATTATCGATGGTATCCATGTTCCAGTTATGTTGAAAATAAGTAGCAAATGCGTAGTTTGAACAATCATAAAATTTGTTGAGTATGTGCGTGCTTTAAACGTCACTTGTCAGTAACAATGTGACATCGAGTGGTAGCGACATCGGTGCAGCTCCTCCGCCAGCAGTCATCAGGTTTCGGCATTATAAGCCACTAGTTCTGGCAATTCACCCGCTATTTGGTGCCGTTTCCAGTTCGCCAGCAGTTCCGGCAAATACGAGCTCCGTCTCTAACGGATCCTCAACGGCCACATCTCCGTTCGGCGGTATCAACATATTTGCTGCCCCCAGCTCATGCAACAACCAATCCATCGTCACCTCAGGCTTCTCACCGTTCTATTTAGCCCTTTGGAACACCCGGCTGGTTGATAGACTAGGGGTCGTCCATTAATTATGTCACACATTTAGGGGGGAGGGGCGTTTTGAAAACTGTGACGAGCCATACAAAAAAAAATAAGGTTCATACAAAAAATGTGACAAAGGGGGGAGGGGGTTTGAAAATGGGCTAAATTTGCGTAACATAATTAATGGACCATCGCCTACGGTCAAGCCAGCCGCTGTTGGAATCGGTTTTAGTCACCATCGTCCCCCGCCATCCGTAATCATATCGTAATCCGATTTCTCCGCTTTTTCCAATGTTGTCCAAAAATATTTCACAACGTCAAAGTGACAAGACATATTTGAGCCATGGTAGATACTAGATGGTTACAACAAACCTTTACAGTGACAAATTGATTCAGTTGGTTGCAAAACAAAGTTTGAAAACTTATAGATTCATACGCTTAATTGGAACAAGATTGCAAATTGGTTCTTCAACACATCTTGGTTCGTAAACTTCTAAGTAACATTTCGAAACAGTTGCTCAATAGGTACAAAAAACATATAGTTCACACTCTGTTGCACCAAAGTTTTAAGAAACATAATGTTTTATGGAACTCTCATTCATTATAACTACAATACACTGGAGGAGCTTATGAAAGCTGTCGATGAAATTGAAGAAGATTTATGATATTGTAACAGAAGAATGATCAAGAAATTCATTGAAAATTTTATTTAATTGTAACCATTATGCAATCCTATATTATGATTTCTATTTAGAGATGATTTGTTAAAACAAATAAAAATATTTTAACAAAATGGGTGGCCTGAATGAAACCAATTGTTAATTATATTTGCTTTAAATTTTGATTTATCTTCAAGATATTATTCTTTGCATTTAACTTTGAAACTGTTATTGGTTTCAAAACATAATCATTAAAGAGCTGGTTGGAAATGCTATCGAACATGAAGCTTTAGTGTGATAATATA